TTTTAGTATAATGAGCTAATACAGTAAAAGTAATTCAAGAAACCAATAACCATTTTTATCTTCCGTGTTTTTTTTAGTATAATGAGCTAATACAGTAACAGTAATTCAAGAAACCAATAACCACTTTTATCCTCTGTGTTTTCATAGTGTCATGAGTTAATACAGTAAGAGCGATTCAAGAAACCAATAACTAATTTTTTTATCCTACATATTATTTTAGTATCATGAGCTAATCTAGTAAAACAATACATGAAACCGATATCTGTTTTATACTACATGTTTTCTTAGATGATTTTTCTTCTTACGACCTTAATACAATTCTGGTATTAGCTCAGCTGCTCTTATCTTCTTCTCTATAGATTACAGCCCTATACATCATTTCTAGTTGCACCGACCTCCCTCATATCTATGTACCCCAAGTCTTACCATCGTATTCTCTGTCTTCCTCTACGTTTTTCTTCGTTCAATGTCATTCAATGGTCTTCTCAATGCACATCCTTCTTCACTTTTTATAATATATCCAAAACATCTGCCTTCCATCTCTTGCTTTTTCTGTGATGTTACAGATTCCAACTCTTTTCTTCATGTCACCACTTATTATTTTTTAAAAGATTTTCACAGTGAATATCTTAACATTCTTATCTTATTTCTTTCTAAAATACCCTCCTTTTTTCTTATGGTCCATAAAGCAGAACTGGCCCTGCCGGCGTTATGTAAATTTTGCTTCTAAGCTTCAGTGGTATTTTCTTGAAAGATTCACCTTAGACTTGCCTCCATTTATTCCATCCAGCTCTTACTCTTTCCCTTTTTCCACTTAGAAGTCTCCCTGCTCACCAATGTTAGAGCCTAGATACCTACATTTATATCACTCTTTTATATCAAATGTGTTACTGCCTTTTATCTGAAATTATTCTCTTCCCTTCTGCTACTTAGCATTACCTCTGTTTTCAGGTGTTTACCTTAAACCCACCTCTTCCTATATGTTACTACTGCATCCTGCAACCCTTCCGCTGTCTCGGCTGTTATAATCAAATCATCCAGAAATAAGAGGCCTAGAAGCATGCTTCTCCTTGCTTTCTCATTCAAAACATCCATCCCTACCACAAACAGGAAAGGGCTTCAAGTTGATCCCGGGTGTTGACCTACTTTTACTTCGAATACTTCAGTTCTTCCTTGCCATATTCGTACTGCTTTATTTTCTCCAACTTACATTGTTTTCAATATCTTCGCCAACTACCCTGGGACTCCCTTCTTCCCGAGACACCAATAAACGATGTCTCGTGACACCATACTGTATGTTTTTTCAAAACCCACAAAGTACCACTATAACATTTCACTAATATCTACTACTTTTCTTTATCTATAGTCTACTACCATATTAATCATTTTTGATCTATGTTTAGAAAGCTCTCTATACTTTTTATAGTTTAGCATGTTACCTTTTCGTTTGTATATAGGGACCAATGTGCTCTTCTTTCAGTGTGAAGGTGTTTTCTCTTCCTCCCATATTTCCTTCAGAAGCTGTCATGCCCATTCAATGCCCTTATCATTTCCACATCCGCCCCTTTCCCCTACCTCTCTTTCTCAGGTTTAATTTCATCAATGGTTATCTTCATTTCCAGCCTTGTGACTTCTTCCACAACTGTCACTTCTTCCAAAATCCCTCTTTCATTTTCTACATTCATCAATTTCATAATATTATTTCCATATATTCTTAATGATAATCTGAATACAACCCTCTTTGTTCTATATGATATTTGTTTCTTCAAGATCATTTCTAGCTTGTTCTCTTGATTTTGCTATCATATAAATTGCTTACTCTTCTTACAGTCTTAACAGATTTTCATATCACTCCTTTCAGGCTTCACTTTTTGCTTTGGCAACTGCTTTCTTGACCTTCTTCTTGCATTATCCATATCATTTTTTTGCATATTCATCATCATTATTTGTCATTTCTTCAAACACATTCCTTTTTTTTTGCCTCTTGCAATTCTTCATTCCACCACCATGTCTCTCTCCCTTGAGGCGAATCCTTTCATCACACCCCAAACTTTAGTTGCTGTTGCCAACACTGTTGCTTTCATCTTATTCTATCCCTTTTTTGCTCTTTCTTCTTATACTCTTCCTAGATTTCCCCCATTCCTGCTTATAATATCTTAATTTTTCTACTTCATTCTTGTATTCGGTGCTCTTGTGTCTCATGAATGTCCACATTTTATTTATCTTTCTTTTCTGCTTCTCTTGCTCCTTTCCTTTTTTTCTACACTTTCAACTACAACCAATAGTTTATGTTGGATCACTAATGCCTCTCCTGAAATCACTTTCAGACCACAATAGTTCTCCTGTCTTGCTTTCCCACTAGAATGTAATAGATTTGAAATTTATATTGTCCATTTTTGTAAGTAATAAGATGCTCCCTTCTCTCTTCTGAAAACCTGTGTTGAGAACATATATATCTAAGGAATCAGTTATTTCCATCAAACTCTCGTTCCTGCTTTCATATCTTTCGCCTCCATGCACTCCACCAAAACTTTCCTCTCTTCCCCCACATGATATTTCAGATCTCCTTCAACCATTATTGCCTCTGACTAAAGAATGCTCCTTATTAGCTCTTTAAGAGCCTCTCTAAAGTACTCCTTCACACCCTCTGAACATTCTCGTTGTGGTGCATATGCTGATACTACAGTCATCATTTTATCCCCAAGTACTATTATTACACTCATCGATTTGTAATTTATTCTTTTGACCTCCATTACACCATTTTTTGGAATTCAATTTAAAATTATGCTTACCCTATTTCATCTTGTGCTTTCACCTCTACAAAACACTTTGTAACCATCATCTAGTAATCTTGAGCTTTTACACTTCAATTTTGTTTCCTGTACAAATGATGTTTTTTTATTTTTCTTTGCTTTATTACATCTGCTATCTCGCACCTCCATTTTGTAAGACTTTCGACATTCCATGTGTCTATTCTGACAATTCCTTTTTCCCTCACTCTTTTCTCCATTAACTTCTTTGGTTGCAGCCAGGGAATCTGCGATACCCCTTGCCCATTTCTCACAATAGCCAGGAGTTGCTGCTGCCACTTCAATAATCGATAGAAGGATGTAAATACTGTTTAACAAACTGTGAATATGCCACATGTTTCAGGTTATTCGTTATATATACATATATATATCATTCCTAATAGTAGCTATAAGTGCTGCTAATAATGAAAAGTAATGGATAATAATAATATTCTAATCAAAGTATAAAGATATAAAGTATAAGCAGTTGTTTGAGTTAGCACAATTAACCAATGAAATCATTTTTGAAGAGATGGGCAACAGTTGAATGTATTCAATAATGATCACAACCAAGTTGTCTACTCAAAGATAAAATAGAACCGTGAAAAACTCATTAAAAAGTAAATCATGAATGAAGTGCTGCTATTATTTCGTTTAATCGTTTCATCATTTTTAACAATTTCAAAAGATTGTTTATTGTGTAACATTTTGATCATCGATTTCGATAAAAATAAAAAAGACATTCCTTCTTTCTTCTACTATGTTGATTTGTAGCACTGATTTTGCAAGGGCAAAATCTTTGTTAGTAGATTGTTTTGTTTAAGTGTAAAGCTGTAGAATGAACTTTCTACCCTCTTTCCATCTCAGGGATTGAACTCCGAAGTTTCGAACTAAAAGCCTTGAGACTTGCAGCGAATCCACTGGAGTGGGGCGTTAGTAGTAGTTAGGGCTCTCGTACGACATGTGAAGGATGCCACTCCCCTACTATCCTCAGGAAATGATTGGCATCCTTTAATGGTGTGATTTCTCATGACATACGACATCAACGTTAGACAGAGTAGCGCCAAGAGAAGGATAGTCCCTCAGATGGTCGCTATGGAATAGCTCTATAGAATGCAATCAGAGATTGTCATAGAAGTTGGAATTAATCATTGTAAGCATGTTCCAACTAGCAATTACGTCATAATCAACTAAGTTTTGAGATTGATTGCAAAACCAGTTCAGATATCTTATTAGTTCTGCATTATCGTTATGGTCAACTATATACTTTGTAATTTTATTTCATTATGACCGGATTAGGCCCGCAGGCTCACAACGTCCCCGCATATATGGCCTTCTTAAGACGCTCAAAAAGGATGTACCACTCCGCCCGATTTTGTCTATGATTGGCTCTGCACAACATGAATGAACGAAGTGGCTTTCGGAAAATTTTAGAACAGGTGTTAACGTACTGTATTCAAGACTCCTTTCCTTTGTTACAACCATACATAACCTTAGCCTTGACCCTAAACAATTGTTTTTGTGCTCCTTCGACATCAGCAGCCTGTTTACTAATGTACCCCTGGAAGAAACCATAAAACTTTGTGCAGATACTTTGTATGGTGGAGAAGTTCAGTGCCCTCCAATACCCAAGGACCTGTTTATTGAACTGATGAATACTGCGACACGTTCGGTGGAATTCAGCTTTAATGATATCATGTATCAACAGATTGACGGAGTCGCCATGGGTTCTCCTCTTGGACCTGCCTTAGCCAATATTTTCGTTGGTTTCTATGAAAAAGAACTATTTAACAAAGTTACCAGACCTGCTGTTTACTTCCGCTATGTAGACGATACATTTGCCATTTTTAAAACTGAGCAAAAACGTATGACCTAAACTCGTTGCACTCGGCTCTCAAATTTACTTTAGAAAAGGAACAACATAACTCTTTGCCATTAGTTGAAAAAGATGACTTTCGTTTTCTCACCAGTATATACATAAAACCTACTTTTGCAGGACAATACACGCGATGGGATTCTTTCAGTACCAAAAGTCGTAAAACGAACTTTATTGCTATTTTAGTCCATCAGGCTCTAGTTATCTGTTCAAAATCTGAACTAGATTTCAAATTGAAGACAATTAAAACTATTTTATTAGAAAATGGGTATCCAGAAAACTTCATCAATCAAATTACTTGAAAAAAAAATTGCGAGCTTCTCAACTGATCCAAAATATGGTCTTAACAAGTGTCCTGTTTACCTAAAACTACCATGGATTGGTAACATTTCAATAAAATTTGAAAAACAATTGAAAACGGCCAGTACTAAATGTTTTCCTGCAGTGAACCCCTACTGTGCTTATTCCACATGTTAGTTGTTGCTTGCAACACACAAAGATGCGATACCTACCACACAGAAAAGTATGGTTATTTATGAATTTTCGTGCCACTGCGAATGTCCATACGTAGGTAGAACTTCACAAAGATTGCAGGATAGAATTAAACAACATATAACCACATCCATAAGAACTAAGAGTGTAAAAGAAAAGAATTTACCATGTCGCTTCTGTAAAACAAAAGTTCTAACACCAAAATGTGAATCAGCGATTGGCCAGCGTTTACTAGTGAACCTGACTTGTGCTGAAAACTACAAGGATAGCAGGTTTGAAATTATTGCAAATGGTCGGTCGACCTTTCATCTCTATATTTTGGAAGCCACCTTTATTAAAACACATAAACCTGTCCTTTACCACCAAAAATAATTCCTGTACAATCTACACATCCTTCAGTAGGTTTGTGACATTTCCTGATTGGCTAAAGGACATGCCAATCAGTGATTGCCTTACCGGTCTACGGTGATCTGACTCATTTTATAAGCTGTACTATTTCTTATAGATCATTTTCCAGACGGTTCTGCTATGATTAGTATCTGGCGAAAAGCTTCAGCGGATATTTCTTTTGCAACATCTCAACCAACAATTGGTCCAGTTATCAACGCTATTTTCAAGTTTTGAACGACAAGACTTTCAAGATCTACATATCTACATGAGCCGATGTTTCCATTTATCAACGTTATATTT